TCTCAAGAAAAGCTACTGAGACTGTCATGTAAATGAAATATGTACTTGTAGGCCTAAGAAATCCAGATGCAATGTACTCAAATATTCGGATAACTACTTATATATAGTTAAAATAAATACAGGCACATTACTAACAACCTTTGTTAATTTACTAACTTTTAAAAGATGCATGTTGGCAAAAAGATACAGACCAAAATCCGAACACATTAACATATGAGACCACTTGATTAAATACATCTCCAGCATAGGATGTTCAGCTTTTCTAAATACCTGTTTTGCTCATTCTTCACTTGTGGTTTTTAAACATAATTTTTCCATTATTTTTTGTTGTTGTTGTAAATGTTAATATAAAACAATCAAAAATGATACATTAAAATGACCAAAAGCAATATGTTTATCTGTGAAAAAATATGACACTGGTTACAATATGACTTAATCATTTTAAATAAATATTTTAAAATTAAATCTTAGTCAATTTATAGTTTTTACTTTCTCAGATTGCCACCCTATGTTAAGGTGGGGGGGGGGCATTAGAATGACCCATGACCCATTCACATATGCAATAAACATGCAATATTACTTTAATACTGAGAAACATGCTGTGCACATACATGTGTAGATATACAGATCTGTTTTTAATCTTAAAAATGCACAGGCTTGGCTCTCTACTTATTACTTTTGATTTAGCTGTTCTGAAGACTTGAGCCATTTGGCTTGTTTTATTTTCAAGTCAGTGTGGCCTTAGTGGTCCTTTAGACTTTTTAATGTTTTAGTCGCCTTTTGTTGTGTTTTAGTTTTGTAATAGTTGTATATATTTTTGAACCTCTAATGCACATTTCATTGTAAAGACTGACTTTTCTGTACAAGCGATTATCTAAAATTACATTTGTCAAAAAGATGCAATGTTGAATTTAACTGTACTTAAGTTCTTTGGAAAACTGAAATGTACAGTAATAAGAAACTATTGAAACTAAGTACTTTAGAATCTGCTTTCTTTTCTTTCTTTTTTTTTTTACTTTTTGCATGTGTAAAGGCAAAGTATTTCTGTACTTGTTTGGAGAGTCTTACTGCCATAACCTGTGGTCCTGATTGCCATTTTGTCTAAAAATCGATGTGCTTCCAGACACCTCAATGTTGAGAACTTAGATATGCAGTATTATGACTGAGGATGAAAGCTATGACATTGATTGAATGTTTGCTCGCGTCTGTTGTCAACTGGAGTTGTAGTGTGTCATTTAGGATTGAAATAATATTCAGACATATGTTACTGTTACTTGCACATTTTACAGTTGTATTTGCTATAATTTCATGTTGTCTGAAACAGCATGCAGAGCTTTGTTTTTCCAGGCATTTTTCACAGCAGCTCCTTTGTCAGCCTGAAGTTGTACAGTTAAAGGTTTAGGGATTTTTTGGGGGGTGGGGGCTTTAAGTTGTAGAAGCACCTTCTGTGAGTATGTAAGGAGTAAAGTGTACAGTGACACACACGGATTGGCCCGAGTTCAACCCTCAAAGCTTATCCTAGTCCACATCAGCAAACCTGAACTTTGGTTTGTAATGTCTTTGCTAGCATCACTTCTTTCCATGCACAAAACCTCATTAAAACTTTCAAATGCACATACATATTGTATAATCTTAAAATGCCTCCACAGTGTGGATCTTACGACTTGTATGCGACTTTATTTGAAGTGAACATTTTCATTTACAGCCAGGGAAATTTTCTTTCTACCTTACATGTCTGCAGTGAATGTTATTGTTTAATGCAACACTTAACACTTTTGTTTTAACATTTGTGATTATAGATGTACCATATGTGTTCATATTTACATCAAAATGGATTTGAATATTGTCATAACTGCAGCTCTTTTGAGTTTAAACAGTCATGTCATGTGCAAGTCACCTACTGTAGGGCACTACAAGTGTTTAAATAAACAAAACAGGCAGATATTGTAAGTGCCTCTATGAGGCCCCTATAGGCTCTGATGTCACTTTAGGAGTTCATGCAAACTAGCTAGATTTAACTAGCTAAACCCTTGAGAAAATGCTTAACAGGTCAGTCACTATTATTGATTATTGTATATATCTGTATCTACACATATGAATACATTAAAGTCATATGAAATCAATATCTCTATGTCTACTTTGTGAGTGTGGGTCAGGAAGCTTCATAATGATTGTCACAGAGCTGAATGATTTAATATGTATGTCATCAGAAAGGTGTATGGTATTATCCTGCATGTAGCTCAGTCAAATACCAGCACCAGTCAAGGACCAAACCTGGCCTTCTAGTTATTATACTGTACACACATATTAGAGTTATATTTCATAAACAAGGTATGCTTATTTATTGCCTTACTGTAATGACAACATGGCATTTCTGAGTGTGTTCTTGGTTCAGTGTTGTTTAGATGAAGAAGACCTGGTACATGGAGTAAATGCACTGTATTCTAATGAATGTAAATGTGCAGTACATGTAAATATTTCAGTGGCTGTTGCAAATGAAAAGCCTGTAGAGTGGATGAGCAACTTTGAGAAAAAAAATGCAGAGGCTGTTTCACTATTATATTTGAATTTAGTAAGTGATACTGAATATAGTCTTTCAGTTTTTGAGATGGAGGAGAGATGCTGTTTGAGTGACAAAGGTTAAACCTCTGTGTGCCTTTTACCATAGTGCATAATATGGTGTTACAATCAGATGATTAACCTAGCCTGCAATGTCAACCTCTTTTTTACAAGAAAGAGTTTTATTTGATATTGTGTAATGTAACTTTGACCTACTAGTATCATCAATCAATACTGTGTTCTGATTTACAGTAATGTAATAATGACTTGTGTAACAATGCAAAGAATGCTTTGGCACTGTTTCAGGGCATTACTGGTACCAGTGCAAAGACAGAAAATACCAGAAAGGTCTGTTCAATCTCCAAACAAATAGTGGTGTGCTAGTATCCAATAAAGAATAATAATGTCTTTAGACTTGTGAATATGTGCACAGCTTTGTGAACACTTAAAGGGTGGTCACCCATCAATCCATCCATTTTCTATACCGCTTATTCCTGAATAAAGTTGGGGGGAGGGCCGGAGCCTATCCCAGCTGACACTGGGCGAGAGGCAGGGTATATTCAGCAATCTCCATCCAGAGACAAAAACCGACAATGAATTGCCTCATGGTTAATGTCTGGCAGCTGTCAGTCCTGGATCAACTTATTTGTCTGCGCCGTTGACCTCTGTTGTTGTTCAAAAAATGATTAAACACATCAGTGAAACACACCGCTGCACTGGGGGACAGGTTTCTTCATTAGTAAACACTAGACCTGAACGTGAGGAGCTAGCAGAATGTAAACAAAGCTGGGAAATCTCATAAAATGTCTCACAGTTGACTCTGGTTCATGTTAACTTCAAGAAATTATGGCCGCTCTTAGCCTTTGGGACAACATAGCCAGGTCTGGTGTTTCTTTATGAAAAGGGGTGTCACCCAGTGTGTTTCACTGATGTATTTTTAATAATTTTTGAACAACATTGGAGATCTGTTGCACAGATGAACAAGCTAATCTAGGACTGATGGACACTAACTGTGAGCAGAGGTAACTCATTGTTGATATTAGTCTCTGTATGGAGATTGCTGAAGATACTATTAATATAGAAAATGACTGGCCTTGCCCTTTAAGTGTAACATAGAAGAGGGAATATACAAAATTTTATAAATCTTTAAATCTAGCAGTATGACTGCATTAAATTATTTGTGGGTTACTGCAGACATATTTGGGAACGTACACAGTTATGTATCTGAGATCAGGATCCCATAATACAACTTTAAACTGAAATCAAAATACTCTTATTACAGTCTATGCTTAATTCCTCATAATGTAAACCACAGTTGCCGTATCAGATATCACATGTATACACTCTAAATCCATAACATTTACTGCACAATAGGCCTTTGGAAAATATACTGTAACTGTCTTGCTAACAGCTTTTCTCCAGAGAAAATGGCAACTAAAACTATGCAGCGGAAAACAGAAGAAGAGAGGAGCGAAACGAAGAGCAGATGTGAAGATCGAATGCAGCTGCAGTAAAGGAAATGGTTGTATTGAGGGTTGATGTGTGCCAGTGAGACCACAACAGAAGTGTTTAATCTCCCAGTAAATAATGCACAATGCTAGCACATGTGATGCAGGAATTGCTTGCCATAACTGTAAGTAAAGAATTAAAAATGATCAACCTGCTGTTGTTGACAGACTTTTTACTGATATCGCAAATGTGTTTGCATGGTGCACAGATAAAGGGGATTAAGCCTCCTGAAATGGTGTCCGCCAAGATTGTAATTCAACTGCTTGCTTCATAAAATACAAATCCCTGTTTAAAAAATGAAAACTTGCCATCAAAAAATGTGTTTTTGGCAAAGTATACATACCGTATCATTCAAATGAAAAATGATGCACACTCATACATATGCAGACATGCATTAGTGTGTCACCTTGAAATGCTCTGTTCATATGTCACTCCTGTGATGATGATGGCTGTATTTGTTATGAGTTGGCAGAGCAGAGGGCAGTTGGTTGGAGTCTGTTGTTTGTTTTTCCAATATTGTCAGCCTCCAGTTTTATTGTCACCATTTTTTGATTTTGTTGTTCAGGAATAACTTGTGTGTGTGTGTATGTTGGAGGCAGTCATTTTTGTAGTTGTACTAGAGTTGCCATTACAGTTTAAATGTTTGCACTTCATTCTGACATGCACAGTTAACCAGCAGTTTCCAGGTAATAGGAATCCCTGATTAGCTCCCTTCTCTACTGTCAGTAACACTATAAAACTGTGTTATGGAAATTCAGAATATGATGGAAAAAAAACCCCATTGACCAAGATTGGTTTGTATTAATCTAGCACTCTTATACTTGTGCTTACTTGTAATGTTAAGTTTGGATTTCACTGAACATGATTTCTTACAAATAATGCTTGTTTTCTGTGAACTTCATATTAATGGCTTTCTGTTCTTGTCTTTACAGTGTTAAGTTTCTAGCATTCGCCTTCTCTCTAATGAGGAGTCAGTAACTGGTAAACACAAATTTGCGGCGGGAGCCATGTAAGCGACAGGTGTGACAAGGATGGACGGTTTTAAAGGACATCTTTGGGGTGACAAGAGAGAGACCAGAGGTTAATCATTAATTTAAGTCATGTGGTCTGCTCCTCATGTTGTTACCAAAGCAGCCTCTCGGAACTCTGACCACACTTTGAGAACTGTCTGACTGACCTCCTTTTTGTTCCTCCCCTTTTTGACTTTTTTTTTTTCGAGCAAATGGACGGAGCATTGCACTGACACATTTTTGGAGAGAAAAGGACTCCTGATTATACAGTACATTCCAGATAACATCTCTCTGATCACATTATGCTTACCATCTTGTATGATGACCAACTCAGTCCCATCTACAGTGCTGAACAACTGAGCAACTTCACAAGTTACCTAAAAAAAAAAAACAACAACACTTGTCTTCACAAAGGACTGAATGAACAATGTAGCATCTCTGCTAACATTCTGTAGCATTTGTTGGCTGTGAAATAACTTGACTTAATCCACCAACAGTTCGAAATGAGACAAACTTTATGCATTCATGGGATAATTTAGATGTCATTTTTCCTCTTGAGTTCCTCTCCAGTGAAGGAAAAATAGAGAGAGAGAGAGAGTACATGAGAGACAAAGGATTGGTCTTAATCATAAAACACCTGACTTTCCCAAAATTATGTAATAAATACAGTGGATATGAAATAAATCAGAAATGCACAATTGCCACACTATAGGTCCTCAACCAGGTTTAGGACATACGTGTTTGCCATCCTAAGTTGCATATATGCACCAATGTTTCCCTCAATTGCGTCTCTCCTTGTGTCTTAGTCCCACCCACGTAGGATGTGAGGAGACAGTGCAAGGAACAAATATGAGGAGAGAGGAATCGAGGAAGCACGTTCAGAGAGACCTGAAGCATCCTTTCCTCCGATCCTTCATCTTAAGCGCCCAATCACCAACTGACTTTCAATAAAGGGGTGTGTCGGTGTATAAGACTTTTGCAAAAAGACGCTCTCATGTGTCCTCACTCATGGCTTCTCTGGCAGTCTCCTCGCTCCTCAATCTTCAATCTTCATAGCAGATATAATAGTCATGGACGTCCTTGAGCCTCACTCAACTGGAAAAACCTCCGGGTCAAATGAGGTTTGAGGAGTGAGCAATGATTATATAAGAAACTTGAGATGCGGCCTGTCTTCCATTCCCTCCTGTCAGACTGAATCACTGCCCTCCTCCAAGTAGTGAGATAATCAAAAACAGCACAGAAGATAAAATTGAACAAATCAAGCACATGTAGCATCAGCTCCAACAGGTCATGTACTGTATGGTATTTACTGCACACTTACTCACCTGAAACACTTGTCATAATAAAATGGTGGAAAAAACAAATTTTTATCTCTCATGTACTAACATTCATGTGGGATACCAAAGGTCCTGTAGCATGCACCTGCCAAATGACCTTATGTATTGTCTTGTAGATTAGAAGAAGTATTAGGATGAGGTTTGTATTCACCCTCATACAGGCCATTGTTTCTGTTTGGTACAAAGTCATTCCTCTAAAAGAATTTAGTCCTTTAACTGCCACTAGCAAACCCATTCCTGTATGTGCATTTAAATATTACAAGTATTTCTCTCATGTCTGATTGACAGTTCTCATTTATAAGGAGCAAAAGGACTGCCTCGAGGAGACAAAAGCCCTGCAGACAATTGTCAGTCTTTCTTCAATATCAAGGGACACTAGCCAACTAAATTACAACAAAAAGGACACCCCTACAACAAGGACGCTTTTTACGTCTCATAAAACTGTCCCATTAGGCGGAAATTCTGTGTGATCGTTTTAGAACGGGACCAATCAGATAAATGCTCCCCTGACACAAAGGCCAACACTGCCAATAATGCACAAGAATCCCCAGATGCATACTGCTGCATCTCTCTCTTGTCCCTCTTGCTGCCAATGACTGCTTCACTGGCAAGTTTATGTCAAGATAAGGATGGCCCAAAAGGCAAAGGGTAAAACAAGAAGAAAAGGACCAAGAGTAGAGCAAGTGTGGAAGTGTACAAAGAGAACAAATCTATATTTTGATAAACAAATCAACTATCCATGGCTTTGTAGGAAGTCTGAGCAAAATCAGGTCCTGAATGGAAGAAATAAATAAAAAAAAATAATCTGATGCAAATGTGAATGGGAAATGTGGTATTGTGAAACGGAATCTAAGACCTGGAAAAAGATGGGAATCCGGTATTTTCTCATGAGGGTTGGCCAAAGTTGTTTTCCCCACAAGCACTGAGAAAGATGACTCAAAGACAATGAGCAAGGACAGACTCTCCTTTAAAGACATGGAGATGACAAAGGACGGCTGCTGAGCTCAACAAATGAGAAAAAGATAATGCATTTTTGTAACTTTGTTTACCAGCATGACTACTTTGCATGACTGTCTTTTCTGCAAGCCCTTAGTTGAAGACAAGGGTGCTAGAGATACAAAAAAGTATATATAAAATAAATTTAAAAAAATGTTATATGCAATTAATGTTTTAAAAAAGATTATAATGAAAGAGAAGAGCTATATTTTGTTTTGAAAAGTGAAAAAATGTGAATATTGAAATGTATGTTTGCAAAGTACACCCTGAACTATGTTTCATTTGATGAACTCTCTCTGCTACTACTGCCCTACATCCCTCATTCCTGTTTTCTTGACTGCTGCCATTTTTACTTTCTGATGCATCAAGCAGTATATTTTCTAACCATTCAATCAACAGTGATGATATGAGACTTTGCCAAACTATAGCATTTGTGCAAAAGATGTTTATTGTTCATTACAAAGTCCACGTTTTCCTCCTTGAATCATTTGCACAGCTACCGTAGCAGCAAAAGCAACCACAGCAGCAGCAGCCCTAAGACAGCAGCTCTCCATACCACAACTCTGATTGCTTTCATAGTTAGCTTTTTTCTTTGGCAATAATACATGGTTGTCATATGATTGTAGCAGGGCAAACGGAGAACCTCGAGACTGTCTTCAACGCCTCAGTGTTAAAGAGATTTGTAAAGGCCTTGGAAGCTGGGATAGGCAGCTCTGTTCCACTAGTCCTCAGTAGAAAATGAAACAGTGAAGACCAACAACAGACTATAGTGGAGAACAGTCTGGAGCAATTTTAGGTTTGCATCGAGCCAACTGCCATTCCAAAGTTTGCTTGTGGTTTAAAGGACTCAGGTGTGTTGACAGTGTGTGTGTGTGGATGTAGGTGTTTTTTTGCTATTTTCTTCTAACATAAAAAATTCTAATATATAGATGATGATAATGTGAACACCTCACAGTGATGTGTAATAAACGCATGCATTATGACTTGATAATCTCTTGAGGGGAATGGAGTCTTGACATATCCCCCTAGCCTTCATTGTTTGTCATGAATCCAGTCATAGAAACGATGAACACTGTGCCGTGTTGTAGAGCAGAAACGTCTTCCTTTGAGAGGCAACTGAAAACTACTCACACTCACAGTGTCAGCATGAGTGTGCAGAGGTAGCTCGTCTTTTTTTTGTTTGTTTGTTTTTTTTTTTTTTAAGATGGTCAGGTCTTTGCATCCATTGTTACCCATGGAGTTACTGTCATCCAGCTGGCTAGCTGACAGCTCATTACAGCACACACAACGCAGTCATGTGAGCACCAATCAAAAAGACCCAGAGCTTCCAAAACGATGTCAATGAAGTACTTTAAGTGTGAGAAGGAGAAGATGAGAGATACAGTACCAGTGTCCACCGAGGGGTAAAAAAAGCATCTCATTGTTGAGTCCTCTTCAAGTACCTCATTTTTGGTTTGGTATTCCAAGTGAGTTTCAGGCCCTGCTGGTCCAGGGCTCAACTCAGGCAGCTGAATGGTCCTCCGTCCATTCTTAGTACATTGTAGTTGGAGGCTTACCAGAATATGAGACTCAGTGGTGTGATGTAGACTACAGACTATTCGAGTTTTCTGTCAGCGCTGGTTTTACAGGGTCTAGAACTTTTGTCCATTTGCAAAAATGGTGCGTAGGGTTTTGTCTTTGTCCCTTATCTTTTTAAACTTCCAGTTTCTGTTCCCATTTTGGAAGGCATTAAGCAGCTGTGGCTTTGATGGTCACAAAGATGTTTGTTAATATTTCAGAGTTAATTTTCTAGCAGTGGTGGGCACACTAGCAAAAACATTGTGCTTCACCCAGCAGTTTGTGTTTTTATGGTCAAGTACTGTCCTTTTCTTTTCACAGCTTTCACTGTTAGGTTTGTCATATCTTCATTCTCTGCATTGTGACTGCTCTGCCAGTGCCAGGCTTAAAAAGATGTCTTTCTTTTTCTATTGCATAATACTGCCATTTGACTTAGTCATGTTGAACAGAATGCATTACAATGTTGAGTGCCAAGTCTGTTTTATTTTCTGAAGTCTTTGGAAAATGTTTTCTAGTGTTAAAGATTTCCTGCCTAACATTCACATGACCAAAAGAACAAAACTGCTTTACATGTTTTAATCCAACAGCTATTATGTGTAAAGATGATATTATAACAAGTCCACTGCAGGTGTTTGAAGGGTGTTATATGGTCCTTGAACAGCACATCCTCAATTATATCTTATTTATTTATTTATTTATGTGCCTATTACAATTTTTTTTAATTAAATGTTTTTGAAGGACACTGTAGGCAATCTGCACCACAAATGCCACTGATTGACACTTACTGTATGCTCCCTGAGATGTACTGTCATCAGTTCAGGTGATTTAACAGTCGCACTAAAGTCTTTTATTTTACAAAGTGATAAGCCCAGAGTTGTTTTAGAGGAAATGTTATCATACTGAATAGATTTTTCTAATCTATTTAATATTTTATTTTAATTAGAAATGATGTGATACATACCAAGAAAGTCATGCTAATATACATACATCTAATATTACAGACTAACATCATACAATTACATAAGCATTCCAAAGATAAAAGATGTATGCTCATTTTACATGCCGTCAAATTGTATAAAACAGACTTAGGTACTAGTCCATTGTACTGCGGTCTTAGTAGGAGAGTGAATGGGGAGAAGAGGTGGTCACTGGAGTATCTGGTTGTGACTGATGCCGGATTTTATTTTTGAAATGTTTAAACACAAAGAACAACTCATCAAGAACTGTATAAAGTATATTTCAATGGAATGTTCATGATCTATCTTTTTATATTTTGAAGAAAAAATAGAAACATATCAATAAAGTGGCATAATTGAACATATTTCTACTATTGAGACTTAAAATGTATGAATGTCAATGAGATCTAATGTGAACCACTCCATAGCAGCTTGAATGAATAACTGATTAACAGTCATACGATGCTTTTTCAGAAACATTAAAACTGCTTAAAATCATTGAGATGAACTTAAAATAAATGAAAAAAGTGATATCAATGGTGTGTCAGTGTGTTTCAGATTTCTTACTGATGGCATTTGTGCTCATGTGCATACTGACTGATCTAGTTAACACTATTTATCCTTCTGTCAGGAACAGGATACCGCAGATATCAAATAACTGTAACTTCTACAATTCAAGAAACAGGACACCAACATGTCAGAATCTGTAATATTTTTGACATAACTGATGCAGAGTAATTTTGTCCTTGGGCACAATGACAGAAATTGTAAGACCGGACAAGATAAAAGCAGAATTTGCGGTAGCATTGTTGAGGTAACTAAAAACATGAGTCATATAGAATACCACTTAACATTGTGGGTTAAAATGTTGTTCGACAATTTTTTATGTCATATCACAAACATACCAGATCACATAGTCATTTATGGCAAGGGGGAAAACAGTGAATTGTAAATGTGGACAACTAGTTTAAAGCCCTAGGAGAATTGACCACTCAGTGGAACCAAATTACTACATAATCTTGTCACTGCTGTTTGGCAAAATGTAAAGAAGCCATTGAATCATATGACCACATGGCAAGAAATAGTAATGTGGTCTGATGAGTCATCTGTTTGCCATTGTTAGATAGCCAGTGTCTGATTTAAACTGTTTTGCATGATGAATGTGTGCTGGTATGTGCAGCCATCTCCTGGGAATTACAGTGTCTCATGGTTGTTCTGCATAGCTGCATGAAAGCTAAAAGAATTAAAGCCATTTTACAGTTCTAGAAGCACCTGCTTCTGTGTCACGTTGTTCACTTAACCAAGATTTTGATTCATATCAAGACATTTTTATGAGGCATCCTTTTGGGGTTGATTTCACATCCTTTACACCTCAAAGAGCACCAGAGGAATTGCTTCCTGTATTTGATTAATGCTTGATAAATTACTGATTTATTTTGTCCACACTGTACATATCCTTCAGCTTACAGCTTTATAAGTGTTGCAAGCAGTCATTTGATGACATGATACTGCATGTCATCAAATGGGAATGTATAGTAGCAGCTCAGTGAGCAGTGTTTTTCTGTGACTGAAGGCAGCTTCTGTGTGAGGAAATGTCTGCAGAGGCCCCTTTTCGGCTTTTTTCTCCTCTGTGCCAAAACATCACCTCCCTCTGGTGGTAACACACAGGAGTGACTGTGGTAGTTTCAGACGGATGAGGACCTATGACTTGTAGAAATGATTGGTTGTTATAATCTTTGTTTATTTGCTTGTTTTTTTTTCTTGTTCATCTTATTATTTTAACCATAAACTCAAACTGAAAATTTGGAGCGTTCAGCCTTTTAAAAACACTCTCCATGCTAAATTTCCACAAGCTCTGTTGTTATTATTATTATAAAAAGTGTGATTGAACCCCATGATATCATTTCATATTTAAGATATTACTGAAAAAATGTATTTCTTTGTTCAAGGGCCTTTTTGGGGCTACTTTGGTAGTGTTCTTGTCTTTGTTTATGCCTTCAACACAACACAAACTTATGCTTAATAGGTTAAATTGCAGAAGACAGGTGTATCTTTGAGCATAAGAGCTTAAATCAGTTTTACAATTTAATAAAAAAATATTTTTTTTCCAACAGATTATCTCTGTAGGCTACTGACTGAAGTGTTTGCCAGAAATTATATTATAAGGACTAGCTATGATGTTGTGCCTGTTTGTAGGTATGCATCATCCCTTTGTGTGTTAGCAGACATATAACTAATATTCAGTCTTTGGGGATGAGCAACAGATTGAGAGACTGGTAGGGACTGATCGTGACTTAGAGGCAATGGTAAAGGCAAGACAGACAAGGCTCCGGTTTTCTTTGAACTGAAAGCACCATCATCCTTGAAATGAGAGGAAAAATCAAGCTAAATAGCACATTCACTAAATAATGATTATTGTTCTTCCCCTACAAATAATAAAAAGCAGAGCTCATTAGACCCTTTTTTATTAGACATTTTGACATGTTATAGCAAGAAAAGCACTGGTGTTTTTAATAAGATAATGGCTACTTTCTACTCCTGCATCTGCAGCTGGCTCACTGAATAGCTACTGGAAAACTTAATGTAACTCAGCCAACTTTAGTGTTATTAATTACATCTATTAAGACAAGTCAAAATGTATTGTGAAAAGTGTCTTTAACAAACTCTTGTTATTGCTTCTAGTGATTTTTTGTCTGCTTCGTGGTAAAACTACCCATTTGGCTAAAATAAACTTTATTTTTTACTTCTCAAAAACAGCTTCTGCTAGTTTTCTCTAGCATTTGACTGTGTTTTATTTTCTATTGCACCTCAGTAGCCTACTCTGAATAATAATTTACTGCACAGTTGGCAAAATGGCCATGTCAGTACAAACATAGCAAGGCTAGTCTTGCAGTGCTGCAACAGAAAAAAAGCACCACATGTGACAAAGTTGGCAGCTAACACAGCACTTGCTTCTACTCAACAAGCAACACAATTTGACAGTCGTAATTTATTGAAACATGAGTACTCACAAGGACTGGGGGTGTATGAGCTCATACTTCCAGAAATGGGTCTCTGTTGCTCTCTCCTATGAAGTCACTACACATGGGCATAGCCTACTGCTGTTTGCCATGATGGTTTGCAATGTGACAACCAAGGAAAGCTCGGAAATGTAAACCATCTGTCTCAGCATGCAAACGTTCCGACACTGAAGCTCTTAGTGGTATCTAGTCAAAAACAGGCAAACAAAAGAATGCTAGTTTGCCTCACACAGTTCCAGGTAGTTAAAACTTATCAATCAAGTCACACTGCATGGAGACAAAAACTGGTCACTCACTGTATCTCATTCAGGGTGCATCTGGCTTCAAAATGAGGGTACATGAAAATCTATGATATTAATTTGTACCACATATGGTAAATTAATTATAAATTAAATGGGTTAGCAGAAAGATAGTGTGTGGTGGGTTTATTTTATTTAATTAGTTCATTTATGTTTTTAATCACTTTAAGACATGGGCAGATTATTAGAGAATGTGCCTTTGGGCACAGGCATGTAAAAGGGCCCCCAACTCTCCTACATTTCTAGGAGCAAGACTCTCAGATTCGAAAACCATTTGATTTTTAATCAGGCCTGTAAAAGGGCCCCCAACTCTCCTACATTTCTAGGAGCAAGACTCTCAGATTGGGAAACCATTTGATTTTTAATCAGGCATGTAAAAGGGCCCCCAACTCTCCTACATTTCTAGGAGCAAGACTCTCAGATTAGGAAACCATTTGATTTTTAATCAGCTTGTGTCTTCTTGTGGCTGTTTTGTGTCCCTTTCCATCAGTTTTCAGTCCTTTTGAGGTCATTTGTATCTACTTGGTATCTCCTTGTTAGCATTTTTTACCTATTTCTATTTATCTTGTGTCTATTTTTTTAGTTGTTTTACATTTCTTTGTAGTTGTTTTGTGTCATTCTGCATTTTTTTTGTATAGTGAAAAAATGTAAGGATGGATGGTCAAAACAACAGCCGCTTGGCATGTTTGTAAGGTGGTAAGCGTGCGGCACTCTTTTCCTTTTACTGGCCTGTTTACTGTATGTACTGTAAACACATTGCAGACACAGAGGGAAAGAATTTCCAGTATCTTACTATATATGTTGTTTTGATGCAATGTTGTTATCATGGTGTAGATAATGTGCATTATAAATTTTAGTTTGGGATATTAAAAGTAAGGAAAAAAGGCTTTTGCAAAATATTAGTAACCAACATGCACTTAACCAAATTAGCCATGGCACATATTAAATAAGCTCTACTGTTTTTTTTTAAACCATACACATTAAATTAAATAATTCTGAGTTAATGAGGGACAGTGAGGGACCTCTATCAGTCAGAGTGACATGCTTGTTAGAAATGGTAACACCATTCACTGCCAAGCAGAAGTGACATTTGATATGGAGGATGAAGGTTGTCATGTCCTATAGCTAAAATGGAGGGAAAGGACGGGGAGGGGTCAGAGGGGTCTAGCGGAGATTGAATTTCAACAAGACAGCATTCCCAAAAAATTTCAAGACAGACAACGTGCAGCAGCAAGGGAGAGGGCAAGGCTGTGGATGTTCCTTGCAACAACTGGAGGAACAGTTTGCGTACAACCTGGTCAGAGGTCTTAACTGGGGTGCTAGTGGACCTTTCATGAGTGTCGACTGAAGGTAGACAGCCAAAAAAAGGACCCTGTGTAGAGCATATGACAGATGGACATAATGGCAAGGGGAAGGACAGACAATCTGATGAGCCACAGGAGAGGAAGAATGTGATATTTCATCCTGACATTAGTCTGTGCCAGCAGTGCTTTTATACTTAGTGAGTAAATACTTTCATCTCACTTACTGGGTACTAAAATGACTTGTTGTTTGTAACGTTATATCCACAGTAATTACCAGTTCCTGTTTGATAAAATTTCAACTAATTTTGTTTTAGCAAGATTTGGGCTAAACAAATTTTGCATAACTATGATGAACATTGTCATGAAAAATATTGACTAAACAATCAGACGCTGCTACAGTATCTACAGCGTTTGCCTCTAATGCCACATGTAACGCTCATCAGCTGAACCCAGTGCACTGATGGAGCACTCACTCTGGTTCCAAACAGGGTTTGCTTTTAGGTCCGGTTGTTCTACAAAATCTTAGGAGAGTGTGTTGCAGAGGTGCCTGGTCTGGGATACAAACATGGACAGCAGTGACCCACATGATGACAACACTGAAGGGAGAAGGAAGGAGAGTGATGGAGAGAAATATAAACAGCTGAAGAACCAGCTCAACACTGAGGAAAAAGGAGAGAAGGAGACCAAAAGGAATGAGAAAGAGGAGAAGAAAGAAAGTGAGC